GGCTACGCCGGAGATTTCGACCCCGACACCGCTATCCCTGGATTTACAGACTGATCAGGAAGCTCGGCCGAAGCCTAAGGGAGAGGTTAGTCGGCCCCTAGGCCGTAGATGATTAACCCCTTGCTATGACCAGCAGACCCAAAATGTCGCTTGTGTCAATAATGGCTAGTTACGCATGGTCACTCTTTTCCATGTGGGACGCGTTTAAAAAAATATATAGCTACGACGTTAAATCAAAATTAAGATTCTGTAGACACGAGTGACATTTATTGCAAATTTATAGTAGAAACGTCTTCATGTTATCGTAAAAATATGTATATTTGACTTTCAAACATGTCTGACRAGTGGTCTTCACTCAAAATGCCAAAACTTAGCGTCCTTGCTTGAAACTTAAGGGTAATTCTTTCATATTGTGTTTGCTAATACAATATCTTGGTCTGACGACAAATGTATACTCGCGAATCCTGTATACTAAGAGAAAAAGATATTAATTTAATTCTCACTAAAATTTCTCTATTTTTATGGAAAATGAGATAAAAGGCACGCATACGCTAATGTTTTTCTCTTGTGTTGGTTCAGTACGTTTCAGTCTTATCCTTTGTCAAAGAAAACATATTTCAAAAAAAATAAAAAATAAAAAAAATAAAAAAATAAAAAAATAAAAAAAAGTTGAAAAGGTTTCAAAAACAATTTGAGTTCATTTTGGACACTGAGTTTCTTTTATTTCGCAAAACAAGGGTTTCAAATGTTCTTGTGATGCGATTCAATCAATGAAAATGAAACAGTTGAAATGTTTGATTACTCTACATGTTCTTCACCATATAGTGTGAATGGATATCAATATATTCGCCTGCAAAATCAAAAGGTATTTTATTTGGAAGTATTTTTTTAATCGTTACTATAATGACGCTGATTCCGCTGCAATTTTTTAAAACATGCAAACTTTCATTACAGTTAACAACAGATGTGAAATACGATAGATCCTGAGGACAAAAGGAGTATAACCAATCATTTGTCAAGCTTGAGTCAGACAAAAACTACTAGGAACGACCTAAAGCTGTTAGGGACAAAACATTAGATTATTGAAGGAAGGGGGTGCGTAATTCCAAAAACAATATTTAGCTAGCGTGCGAATAAGATAAAACATCTGGTGTGGAGGGAGGTAATTATTCGATCACGAATAGTGTAATTGCGCGCGCACGCAACCAATTTGTTTCCAAAGTCTTACCATGTTTTCTTCTGATATGTGGCTAATTGCTTCAATCTCAAAAAAGATTCCTATTTCCACTGGCTTAACTGAAAACATCAAAGTAAAAAGAAAAGGTGCATCGTTTGTAGATCTGCATTTGATTTAGAATGACATTTGCCCGAAGTTTCTGAGATTTAAATAAAAATGAAACAGCCACTATGTTGGCTGATCTAGCAAGACAATCTCAGTAGGGAGAATTTTTTCTAAATCGTCAACCAAACCGTAGGCTATGATTTTACTACAGAGTTTTACATTGAAAGATTTTTATTTGATAACGTCACGAAAAGACCTGTGGCGCGTTATCATTAATAACTCAAAAAAATTTATATGGTAAAAAATTCATAATTCATAATTCATAAAAGCTAAAGTGTTTAGCAAAATACTTGTTCCTTGTCATATGAAACATAACGTAAATAATGAGCGTTTCATTATATTAAGTTTTGAAAAATTCACGGTTAATTAAAACTATAGCCATCATGATTTTTAATTTCGGGTGTCAACTTATAAGTCTGTATCTAATCTTAGAATGCTGATTTCTACTGCTTGGCATTCTCTCAAAACCCTATGGAGCCAGCTTAACATGCGCCGCAAGATACAACAACAATGATGCTTTGTTAACGTTTAGATCTACCGGTTTATTTATACATATATATATATATATTTCAATCACGACAATGTTTACAGTTTGTTTTTGGACACGTAGAGATAAGGAGTAATTTAGAGTTTGCGGGGAAAATGGCTTAAACAATTTAACAAAACTCTTTCCAACTCAAACTATTAATTTGGGATMAACAGATGTAATTTCTCTTTCCGTCATGAACGATTGAAAAATCCTTATCAGAAATCCAATAAGATGGTACAAATTAACTCATTTCCATCTAAAATCTCATTACTAATATTGTTGTGTYTACTTACCTCTGTAGTAGGGTCTTTYGAGTTTATCRTAGTTTTKGAAGATTYCATCCACTATTYGTGACACTTGTTYGGGTTCTATTTTTYTTAGGTATTCCTCGGTCTTGTATTCATCTCTGAGGGTCATGCGAAGAAACAACGCCAAGCGAAAACGCCAATGCATTTTGTAATCAATAAAAAACCTAGTTCCCTGAAATAACTTTCTTAACCGTCTTGCTTAGCATTTAAGTAAAAAATACTGGTACGCTTCAGGTTTTAATACGTAGACTAAATTTAAGACAAATTTAATTCGAGACTAAATTCAAAGAAAAACGAACAAAGATTTATGTTAATAAATGCGAAACTTTAATTTTCCGACGCTACTTACTCGGTTTTTCCTTGACTTTGACAACAGCCGAGAAGAAAATACAAACTCATCAACATAAGAACGAAAAGTTTTTGAAGACTTCTCCACACTTTGCAATTCATTGTGACCGCGTACGTCTGTTGACTGCCTACCCTCCTGTCTCTTCTGGGCCAAACCAATATTTCTATATAGTTAAATAAAAACGTTACCTTTGTGGTATTAATGAGATTCAAGGATTCTAATAAATATAGCTATATTAAGGTGGCTGCCTACTATAGAAAAATGAAGTTACTGCGCACGCTCTTATACGAAACAAAGATGACGTCATCATTTGAGCCCACGATTGGCAGCCATCATGAATTTTATTGTTTTCATTAAGACATTATGGGATGCCGAGGGGGAAAATTTATAAACTGCACAGCTGTCAGGGTGTCTTTTTATAGATCTTTACGCTTTTTATTGAGAAGCACATATAAAAAACAATTGAATATAATGGTAGTTGGAGAAAAAAAGCGAGACACCAAGACTTCAAATTATTGGAAAAAGTAACTCCTCCACTCTGTGCTTTTGCGTTTGCCCCCTTGTCATCCCATAATTCAAGATGGTCGCCGTATCAGTAAAAAGGTCTATCTTTAACGATAAGAAAGAGTCACTAAAAGTAGAATATACTGACAACTGTTAACAACATATTTTGCAAGTCTTTATTGAGCATATTACAGAGCCGTTTTACAGTCGATGCTACATAAAGTATATAACAGACTTGAAATAGCGCTGCCGAGGAGCAAAGCAAGCATGGGCTTATTGCACTGACTAAGTCTTTTCTTTCGAGAAAAACTAGYTTGACAGAACAAGATAATTCACACGATCCCTAGTAAGTGTATAGTTGACCTGGAGTAGGCCTTGCACTGTTCATTGTTATCAGTTCACATCAGTTCTTTAAGAATACTAATTTTGAGCCGCGTTGGAGCGTATAAAGCATGTATGTACTATTAAATCTACACAAGTTAAAAGCTTTAAGTATATATTTTCCTCGTAACAAGAACAATAGCTGCACAAATAGATTTCGAGTATATATACCGATAAGTCATGTCCTTTGTGTTTCTCATTGTCTCAGCTCGCCGAAGACTCGAAAATTTTAGCTTATTTACAAATGTCTTCCAAAATAGTAGGCCTGAAAAACAATGAAAGCTAGTGGGAACAAAACACGAGATATCTTGTCAACAACAAGAGACTGATCTTTCTCTGTAGTTTCTTCAGCGTCCATCTTGTTCCCATTATGATCAGCGCTCTTAGACGATGCTTCTTCCTCTAGATTGTTTCTGGGACTTTCCGTCATAATTTCTTGGCTTGGTGATATTTCTTGGCCATAGCAGTAGATGTCTTGCAACTCAAACTATGAAGAAACATAAGGCAAAAACAGCAGAAAACAGACCTTTATAATTTGCTTTAATGTTTTCAGACCACTTGCCATTCACTAGAGAATGAGATTCTTTGTTTAAAGGTATCCATATTCATGTATGTTGTCATGTGCAACCGTTAAACAAAGAAATGATACTCTTCGGAATGACACGTGATCTAAAATGGAAAAATAGGGTGGCGCTTTGAGACGCACATATGATGCGCTGTGTAAAGATTTCCCGCTAAACTTTGAAGTTCTTTAATTTACCTCCAATTTTGTGGCTTTGGTTTTCTTTTTTACTTTTTTAATTTTCTCACGTCTGAGCGGAAGTTGTAGACCACCACATTCTCCAACAACCCCATGAAGATGAAGATGAAGGTGGCCAAAAGATATTSATCAGCTGCCTTGATGTAACTGACACGAGGCATGTTACTATTGATGTACTGGGACAAGAACACTTCTGTTAACAAGGTAGTGATGCTTAGAGCCATGCGGTCACCAATCTCGTAACGATCCATCCAGAATGGCAACCATGATACGACTGCACACAGAATGCAGGGGAAGAAAAACTGCATGATGAAGTAACCAAGGCGACGGCGAACGGTAATGGAAAATGAAAGGAAACTCCAATCCTCTAGATAGATATGAAAAAAAGTTTAATCACTTCATTTAAAAGTAACGTCATGGTCGCCATTTTGGATATCCAAGTTATCGTCCTACATGGCCACCGTATTTTTTCATTTGATTTGAAAATGGATAAAAATTGGAAATGACGTTAAACTTAGTTAAAAGTTTCTGTATGGTCCCAATRGTAGCCCCATAGTAGCCCCACATTTTCTTCACAGTAAAATGTATTGGATAAAAATTATCAATTTTATTTAGCATCTAAATTGTGAGTAAATGACGTAATTGACGTCAACCCTATTGTGCTTTTCTCTTTTAACCCAAAATTTCTCAACTTCAAGTGGCTCCAAGGCAAAAATGTTCACTAATCTGGTTTACATAATCATAATTGAGTCAAATTATCCACAAATACTTCAATTATTTGGACTTTGAAAAATTGGGGCGTTTTCATCCCAGTGCTGCTTTACAAAATGATACAAAGATTAGAGATGCGCATCCATACTAAATTCAGACATTTTCAGTCTTCCTACAACTCAGCAAAATGGCTACCTCATACGAAAAGCCCAGGAACTAGACAAACATCATCCTAATTATAGATTTCATTAACAAAGAATTGGGACGACTAATTGCACAGCCTAGATGGACTAACTATCATTACTATCACCATTACCTATACCGTCGGTATGGATTTCGCTGATTTTATTTTCACTCTTCACCACGTATCCTGCCATTTCGTTGTGAACCATCGAGCCTTTCTTCCACCTCAGTGTTAACTGATCAGCCGTGTAGCTATCTGTAAAAGAAATGCATTCAGGTCACATTGTTGGAGTAAAATGTTGACACCCACTTTGTTGGGTTACTTACAGCTATAGATATCTATATTTAGTATCTGGCTATCCCTTGGGTTACTTACAGCTATAGATATTTATATTTAGTATCTGGCTATCCATTAGGTTACTTACAGCTATAGATATTTATATTTAGTATCTGGTTATCCATTAGGTTACTTACAGCTGTAGATATCTATATTTAGTATCTGGTTATCCATTAGGTTACTTACAGCTGCAGATATCTATATTTAGTATCTGGTTATCCATTGGGTTACTTACAGCTATAGATATCTATATTTAGTATCTGGTTGTCCATTGGGTTACTTACAGCTATAGATATCTATATCTAGTATCTGGTTATTCATTGGGTTACTTACAGCTGTAGATATCTATATTTAGTATCTGGTTATCCATTGGGTTACTTACAGCTGTAGATATCTATATTTAGTATCTGGTTGTCCATTGGGTTACTTACAGCTATAGATATCTATATTAAGTATCTGGTTATCCATTGGGTTATTTACAGCTATAGATATCTATATTTAGTATCTGGTTATCCATTGGGTAGTTTAAGAAATTCATCTTCGCCAAAGCAATGGTTGACAACCTACAGGAAATAACAATCATTCTTAGGCCCTCTCCACACGTATCCGCAAATTTGTGTATCCGCAAATTTTTTTTGCAGATACGGGTTATGTCCACACGTGTCCGGAAATTTTTGTATCCGTATCCGGAAATTTTCGAAAACGGTCTCCAGAGTGGAAATTTTCGAATACGTTCCGAACACGTATACGTGTGGACGGTCGTAGCCGCAAGTTTTCGAATACGCTGACGTAAACACGATTTTGCTTATGCTCAATAAGAAAAACTATCCGTCAAAGGGACTAGGCACTAGCGTGCATGAGGGCGGACCAAGAAATTTCCGGATACGTGTGGACAGTGAAAACGATTCGAAAACGATTCGAATACGCTGCGTGTGGACGAGAACATTTTCGTAACCGAAAAAAAAATTGCGGATACAAAAATTTCCGTATACGTGTGGACGGGCCTTAGTAATAAAACCTTGGATGTAAATCAACGACACGTATTTACATACCTGTAGGAATAGTTTATTGTTCCGTTTGCATATACCTTAGCTGAATAAGTATTGGCTTCGATAGAGACTTTCCTAGCGTTAAGGATGTAGGTATCAGGAAGCCATAACTTGTTTAGGTGTTCACCACGGAGGATGAGAAAAGAATCATTGTTGTCTTTGTCAAAGGCAACGCGAGGATCCTCCCAGATGTGAGTGAAGTACACAGTGGCCTGAAACTCCTGGTGAATAAATAAATATTTTACTGCTGATTCCTGGTAGGGTCTACCAGAAGAGAAGATGTCTTATCCAACAGGGTAGTAGGTTTGATTTCTGGCCGGGCCATCACGGGGTGTCTCACGATACTGAGAACCGCCGAGGAGAAGGAGTTCGCCTTCGTAACTAAGCTTGTATTGATTTTTCTGACCTAAGTACACTTTCATTTTAAATTGGCAAATTATTAGTTCTACCATAGCTGGTACGATCAGATTTTATTGTCATACTTGTATGTCATTTTTAGATTAAATCTATTCAAGATCGTGAGGAGGGATGTGGGATTAGGGAGGGATATCACTCACTACGAATCAGGTATCACAGAAGAGGGATCAGGATCTTATGAATACACAGGGATCAAGGGCCGAATATTTATGGGATCAGGGATCAAAGTTTTCTGTACATCTTTGGGATCAATCACACAAGAAACAGTCCCTCATCACGATCCTGTATGTCATTTTTAAATTAAAGATTAAAATATCTAGGGAACTTTTGTGAACAGTTTAATTACAGGATCTTCTTGAAAATCAGTACTGGAGGTGATTTTGGAGCTCACTGAGAATTTTTCACTGAGTTCCCTCTGTCTATATTCCATTAGTTTCATTATTCATCAGTATTGGCATATCGTTATTCTATTTAGAAGGAAGGTGAAGAAGCTTCCTAAAATAATTTTTTTTTACACCAGATGTTGGACTAGGAAGAAAGCGGTAATGTTCGATCATCATCAGTTCATTAAGGACGGAAATCTTGAAACTCTTATCGATCAGGGGAATAATCATTTATTTGCGATGTGCCAGTACGCATTTTCGCTGGGGATTGTTATTGTCTTTTTCGATTTTCCCGAAATTATCTATACCGCAAGTTGTCATCTTCTTAGGATACTATAAATCAAATAAACTTTAATTTGGATATTTTCGTTTATATATATTTCTTTTATTTATTAATTTAGGACCATACTTCCAGACATCGAGTGCTGAACCGTCGTATGGCAGCGCGAAGCATTTACGGCTACGCCGGAGATTTCGACCCCGACACCGCTATCCCTGGATTTACAGACTGATCAGGAAGCTCGGCNGGCTACGCCGGAGATTTCGACCCCGACACCGCTATCCCTGGATTTACAGACTGATCAGGAAGCTCGGCCGAAGCCTAAGGGAGAGGTTAGTCGGCSCCTAGACCGTAGATGATTAACCCCTTGCTATGACCAGCAGACCCGATAAGTCGATCTTTTCGACTATGTCTTAACATTCATTGTCACTCTGTTCCATGTGGGATGCCTAAAATCAAAATTGAGGTCTAATATTTTTATGTTATCTTCTGTAAAAAATTTTTTTCAAAAAATTCCAGTCAACTTTGTAAGCACTAGAGGTGTTATTTCGCTTTTTCAAATATTCAACTTTAGAAAAACAAGGGTTTTAAACATAATACCTCGTAATTCAGTGATCAAAAATGAAACAGATTGAAACATTTGATTATTTCATATGTTGTTCACAATAAGCGTAAATATCAGTGTAAAACATCAGGTGTGGAAAAAGGTCATTATATTAAGAAAATGTTTTTAAACATTTAAAATTAAAATTAAAACAAAATTAAAATTTGTTTTCAAAGCTAGTCATGCTTACCATGTTTTCTTCTGATACGTGGCTGATTGCTTGAATGCCCATTAAGATTCCTATTTCCACTGCCTTAACTGGAATGGCATTATTAAAAAAGGTGTAGAACTGTACTTAGAATGGCATTTGCCTATCAAAAAGTTAGTATTTCGTTCTTGGTCCGCAACCACATAACTTAAAACTCTTAAGCCCCGTTTACACTAGCGATTTTTGCGGCGATTTTTGCTGCGATTWTTTTTGCGATTTTGTCCATAATAAATAATGGTAAAGAATTTACTTGTAAAGTTTTTTTTCAGCATACCAAGATTTTCCTAGACGAATGTCTCTTTTGAAGGATGAGACAAAATATTTCATATTCCCGAAAATTGCCACAAAAATCGCAGCAAAAATCGCCGCAAAAATCGCYAGTGTAAACGGGGCTTWAGAGATATAACCAACAGTGAAACAGCCGCCATGCTGGTCGTCAACCAACATTGCGGCTATGACATAACATGCACCCCAAGATACAATAACTGCCAATGTTTTTTTTTAGCTCGACCGGTTTATTTATTTATTTATTTTTGAAATACGTCAATGTTTACAATTCGTTTTGGATCCCAAGAGAAGAGCGGAGTAATTTTGAAATTTGCGTGAGAAAATGACTTTTTAAAACTATTCAACAAAACCGTTCTTTCCAATTCAAACTAATTGGGATCAACAGATGTTATTTTTCTCGTTACATTCAAAGCTTTTTATTAAAACCCCTATCAGATGGTGCAGATTAAGTTATATTCACGATGAAAAATCTCATTAATATTGTTATATTTACTTACCTCTGTAGTACGGTCTTTTGAGTTTATCGTAGTTTTGAAAGATTTCATCCATTATTTGTGACACTTGTTCGGGTTCTTTTAATTGTAGATATTCTTCCTCGGTCCAGTAGTCATCTCTGAGGATGCGAAGAAATAATACTAATACAAAAACGCCGATGCATAATCATTGAAACCCTTACTAGTTTTCTGGAATGACTTGCTTTACCTTCCCTAGATATTTTGGTACCTTTTGTTCGTCTCAAGAAAAAAATCCTTGAAGCTTTTTTAGTAAGAAAATACTGGTAAGCCTTTCAAGTTTCAAAAGTAGATATTCGAGACTAAATCTAAAGAACAAAGAACCGATTTATATGCTAATGGTTGTGAAACTTTCCCGTCGCTACTTACTCGGTATTTCCTTGACTTTGACAACAGCCGAAAACAAAATGCAAACTCATCAACACAAGAACGAAAAGTTTTTGAAGACATCTCCACACTTTGCAATTCATTGTGACAGCGTACGTCTGTTAACTGCCTACTTTCCTGTATCTTTTAGCCCAAACCAATATTTCTATAGTTAGTAATAATGAGATTCAAGGATTCTAATCAATATAGCTATATTAAGGTGGCTGCCTACTATAGAAAAATGAAGTTACTGTGCACGCTCTTATACGAAACGAAGATGACGTCATCATTTGAGCCCACGATATGGCAGCCATCATGATTTCTATTGTTTTCATTAAGACATTATGGGATGCCGAGGGGGTAACTATTGGAAAATGTATAGACTGCGCAGCAGTCAGGGTGTCTTTTTATAGAACTTTACGCTTTTCAATGAGAAGCACATCTAAAAATCAACTGAATTTGCAGGTAGCTGGAACAATATGCGATGACCAATACTTTAAATTATTGGAAAATGTAACTCCTCCACTCTGTGCTTTGTATAAATTTTCGGCGTTTACCCCCTAGTGATCCCATAATTCAAGATGGCCGCCGTATCAGTAAAAAGGCCTATACTTAACGATAAGAAAGAGTCACTAAAATTGGCTCCAAGAAACAGGATAAATGTTTCATTTCTAAACCGATCATCAATACTTTTAATCTTTATGGAAAATTAAGTGTTTTCTGTTGAAATCTAATCTGGACTCCCGGGCCCAGTGCAAGCCTGTAGTTAGATCTACATCTAATACATTTTACCTAGTCGTTAAAATCTTTAGATATCACAACAAATAATTGTAGATCATAGGCGCCATCCCAAAAACCTGGTTTAGCGTAAACTCATAGAATAGAATATACTGACAACTGTTGACAACAATTTTCAAGTCTTTACTGATCATATATAAGCCTTGTTACAGTCGATGCTAAATGAAGTATATAGCTGCCCGTAGCTGAACAGACTTGAAATAGTGCTGCCGAGGAGCAAAGCAAGCATGGGTTTATTGCACTGAACAGGTCTTTTTCTTTCGAGAAAAACTAGCTTGACAGAACAAGATAATTCACACGATCCCTAAGTATATAATTGACCTGGAGAAGGCCTTGCACTGTTCATTGTTATCTACATCAGTTCATTACGTCCTAACTCCTTGATTTATCAGCAGCATCGATCGGCATCGATTATCAGCGAAAAGATCGAAAAAAAGCAAAGTATAAATAAATTCTCCCTACGTGCCGTCTTATTCAAACTGACTAATGTTCGCGCGCGATTGATTAAAATCTGACAGTTGCAATACTCGCGCGCTAAAATGACGATAGAGTGTTTTGATACTCTCATCAAACATGGTTTTTGACCAATCATAGCGCGCGTAGTATCCCAATTATTTTATAATTAACAGATCAAAAACAGTTTTCCGTGTTTGATACTCTGATCAAAACACGCGGGATGTTGAGAGAACACGAGAGGAGCGTAGCTTCACACATCTTCTCGAGTTTTCTCCCAACATCCCAAGAAAACTGTTTTTGATTTGCTTTGTAAAATAACAAACTCGCGAAAAGATCGAAAAAATGCAAATTTAAGTAAATTCTCCCTACCTGCCGTCTTATTCAAACTGACCAATGTGCGCGCGCGATAGATTAAAATCTGACAGTTGCAATAGCGTGTTTTGATAATTTCATCAAACATGGTTTTTGACCAATCATAGCGCGCGTAGTATCCCAATTATTTTATAAATACAAATATACAATTGAATTAAAATAAACCAATTAATAAATAATAACAATCGTGTTTGGGTGTGCGTGGCTGTCAAAATAGTAAAAACTTTCGAGTCGACAGCCACACAAAATAGTAAATTTACAAGTGCTAGTGGACAAGATAGCAGATCTATTTACGAGTTTATCTGAATAATAAATGTTTAACTAGGTAAATATATAAACATACATAAAAAGCATATACATACATATATACATTATTTTTATATGAAAGAATGAATAAAGAGGGAAAAAATCACGAACTTAGAGTTAGAATTATATCTCAAATCTGTGTTGAAATCAAGATAGATTTTAAATTGAACTTGGAAAGTTTTATCGATTTGACATTTTTAATATCAATTGGAATTTCCWCCCAAATCTTACTTTTGACAGATTGGAATGTAAATCTGCCATAATTTGTGCGAGTAGGTGGAGGGACAAGGTTACAAGATGAAGCATATCTTGTATTATATTGGTGTTGATGTTTTGCCCAAGTAATATGGCCCAAGAATATTTGTGGTAATTTGAGGCTAAAGGAACCGTAAGGTTTTCAAAGTTAGACCCGAGGCAATTTAAGTTATAATTTCATTCAGTAGCTCCAGAGAGTAACACACACACAAATAGCCGCAGAAAAGCGTCGAAGGTGACAAATGTGAACGGCAACTAGCGACAAGACATAACAAGAACGAGAAATAAAGAGGAAGACGAATATTGAAAGTGAAATAGTTTAGTTTTTTTCCACAGGACGAATTTTGTTTGGTTAAAAGATATTGTTTGACCCTTTTTTTGAAACAGTATGTAGACATTTGTTTGAATTCAGGGGGTAGATCCTGCCAAAAAATCGTTGCTATTTAGTGAGGATTCAAGATGGAGAATGGTATTTCAGCGTTTGTTTTATGCAAGAATATTCGAGGAAACACTTGATATTTCTTTTAGTCTAAATATGTAAATGTGTAAATGTGTAAATGCCTCTTTTCGGTGGACAACATTAATGACATTGACTGTATATTAAGTAAAAAATATATTACTTCCAGGATTTTTGAACATTTAAGTAAAAGCATTAAAAAAATTTTCTTTTTTATTATTCAAACAAATATTTTATATAATATTATCCCCAAGAGCGATTTACATCGATCCATCTACTACTTTTACACAACAAATAACAAGCAAGCGACGTGGAAATGAGGGGGAAATAGTGCAAAGTTTATTAAGATGCAAAAGTACAACCAAACGATAATTGCAACATCATTTTAAACTTTTATAGCAGTTCTTAAAAAAGCATGGGTTTTATTTTTGTCGCAAATCGCCAGAAGAAGGTTATGACGAAGAGAAAACCAGAAATGGMAACCGGTATGATGACCCTACGCTATTCCTGTCCTGTCTTAAATCGCAAAATAAGATTTGCTTAAAAATTTGAAGATTTTCGTTTGCTTGAAAAAGAAGCACCTGTCATGGATCGATGCAGTCTTCTCCTTTAATTAGGATTTACTCATGTGGATTTTAATTATTTACTCATGTGGATTTTAATTGAAGTATTTGATGTCTTTATAGAAGGCGCAAGATCTGCAATGGTGTTAATTAGGTCAATGAAAAGAACTAACAGGTTGACGTATTTTAGTTGGTTCGTTTTAGATCTCATAGATCTCATTCTTTAGTGGGGAATTCTTAGCTGTTACTAGTAAATGGCAAATAATTTCCAGCAAAAGCCTGGGAAAACAATATTTGCCTTTTATTGCGAATTGAGGTTGAGATTTACTAGTTCAGCCGATTGATAACAAGCAATAGAATACTCTCTGGTTGATAGCACATGATTGGCAGTGTTAGCCTGTCATTGTAGGTTGGTAATGAGATTCATTCCTGACAGTTAATTGATACCAAGCAATAGAATCCTATTTGTTTGTGAACATCACTGCGGGCAAGTCATTCAGCAGATCAATATTACTATATCAAAAGGAGGTAAGTTCCAAGAAAATACAACAAGATAGCGCGCAATAATAGCAAGGCAAGACAAAAGTGAGTACAAATACACGGTGCTATTTGCACAAAAATACAGATTATTTTAATAATTAATCAGTTTTGCGCTTTTTATTTAAAAGGAAATTGTTATGTTAATGTGGAAGTGGTCTCGCTAGTTAGCGAAAAGTGTTCAAGTCTTACCTACGCGAAAAAAATGCATTTGGACTCCCTTATTCTGTTCATAACTGGACTTTCTACACTTGTTAAAGGTAAATTTCAAATATTTTTATAGATTGGTACTTTTTATTCGTTTAGTTTTCTTATTATTTCTGTTGCTATGGATTTTTTTTGCCTTTTTTACTACTATTCTCGTTAAGTGCGACCCGCGAAGCTTGATGATTTCTCGTTCGTTTTCGTCTAGCATTTCGACGGCCCTGGCGTCATTCAAATAACTGAAATGGAAAAAAACGATAACTTGAGGGATATGTTAGACTGAAGTTATCGTTTCTTTCTTTCTTTCTTTCTTTCTTTCTTTCTTTCTTTCTTTCTTTCTTTCTTTCTTTCTTTCTTTCTTTCTTTCTTTCT